AGGTACGGGGGTGCTGTGTGCGTTCCGGGCCTGTCTGTGTCGTTTGTACTGGCTGTAAATAAGGTGTTTGTTGTTTCCTTCATATCGGGCATGATGTTGATAGGTGTGGGCAACCCGGGGGGGGCAANAGGTCATCAGTGATCAAGTTCCCCGTTATTGTAGCTGCCGTGATACTGTCGCTACTCCATCCTCTCATAGTTTTTTTCCCCGGGATTCTGGAGAGTTGTACTGCTGGGTGAGGGCCCCGAGTCAACAGGCACAAGTGTGTGCGGTGCAACACCGCAGCAGGAGAGGGGGGTACCCCAAAAGCAATTTCGGTTCAAATGTAGCTGACGCCATTCAACAGTACTCCACGTGTAGTACGTCTTGCAGCACAATTCCAAGTGCTGTACAACCGCAAGACCAGCAGCTAACATTACCAATGCTCGGTGTTGCCGGCGGCGTGGCAGAAAATAAGCATGGTGCCTGTATGTAAATGCAAGTTTTCAACTTCATCTGTGTCTATCTCTTGATTCCCGCGATCAGTCAAGTTCAACTCTTCTGAAATTTACTCTATGGTACTCAGTCCATCTTCCCTCAAATTTTTGTGGCGATTGATGCTGTAGTGGGCGCGTTCTTGTGCTTGGTCGCTTTGGCGGGTGCACAGCAGGGTGGTTGCGCCGCGTAGATACGAGTCTCACATTTTTTTAGGGGAGGGGCTGCGTGTTGCGCCGACAAGTTTGAAGCCTACAGTGGACGGAATTTGCCAAATCTTGGTTCCCTAGATAGCTACTGACATAGTCTACTGCTGTAAGCCTTTAGCCTTCGGTGGATGTACGCCAGTCGCGCTGCTAATCTGTGTAAAACGATATTTTTTGTTCCTCCGCTTACTTTTTTTTTTTTCTGTCGTGCAGCACTGGACCTGCACCCCTCGCCCGCTGTTCACCGCATTTGTTTTTTTTATTTTTCCAAATACAACACAACGAGTCCATCTCCGTCAGAGNAAGCCTTTAGCCTTCGGTGGATGTACGCCAGTCGCGCTGCTAATCTGTGTAAAACGATATTTTTTGTTCCTCCGCTTACTTTTTTTTTTCTGTCGTGCAGCACTGCAGATAGACCTCAGATCAAGATACCTTCCGGGCGACGCATATGGGAAATAGCGGTACCATAACTACACTATCTGCAGTCCCCCCTCCAACTCTCGTCACCCAGCCGGGCGGCCAGCTGGATTGTCTCGCTGCTTGTGGACGACGCACGAACCTCTCTCTCGCACCACCCGCCCCCCTCCAAGATGGCTCGCATCTACATAGGTAACCTTCCCATGGACGTGACGGAGAAAGACATGGACGACGTCTTCTACAAGTTCGGCAGGATCGTCGACATCGACCTCAAGACTCCCGCCCGGCCACCGGCTTTCGGATTTATCACATTTCAAGACGCAAGGGACGCGGAAGAGGCCGTCAGGGCCAGGTAACTGCGACGCTTGGCCCTATCTCTCTCCTTTACAGCGTCACCCTGTGAGAGCCGACCAGAGCTCGACTAGAACTGAGTGTGCACTTGTCCGTGTAAATGGAACTCGAATGAAGCGTTTTCAAGAGGACGGTTTTATTTTTTTACCGCGCGCGTTTGTGGTGGGTGTGAAGGGCGGGGTTGGCTGTGGATGGATTGCGAGAGAGAGAGCGCGCGAGAGAGAGAGCGTTTGAATTTTTTTGGTCTTGTTCCCGTCCAGCAGGGAGTGTGGCGTACGCCAGGTGCGTGTTAGGGTGACACGTTCAGGATCCTTTCGTTATGCACCATTTGGCCCACCTTCATCTTATTTGTTGTTTTTTTCGGTCGACCTCCACGGCCCCCTTGTTTAGACGCCTTCTGTGCGCCTCATCTCGGACTTCGGACGTCTTTGGCGTTGTATTTATGATATATATTAGTCGGAAGAGGCAGATGAAATGATGAGGAACGAGGAGGCGTTTCATCTCCCGTTCCGCGTCGACGACAGCAGCGGTTTGCCACTTCTGTTGCTTGGTTTTCCCCTTGCTAACCCTCTTGGCTGCCGTGTTGGAACAAGGAGGCACGATCCTTGTGCCTGCAAAAGTTCGGTTGCTGTGCGCTCGTGGATTTCTTCACGATTTTTACCGTCTTTTTACATACAACCGACGTTGTACCTAGATGTGCATCCACCGTCCCTGATTAGCCTTGCCCCCTGCAGCCGCGGTTATCTTGAAATAATTAGATCTGATATATATGTGCGTGCGACAAGATAAAATGTGGTTTACTTCGTTTGTATTTCTCCCGTTGGGTCCAAACCAGCCCTGTACAGATGGATATTTCTTTGTCAACATGTGTTTGCGCACTGCAGCCGTCTGATGATGCTGGGCTCTCCGCGGGGTCGTACGAAACTCTGTACACATTTCCAAACAGGAACAGCAGTTATGCTGCCTCTTCGTCGCCGTCTTATGTAGTGGGGGACAGCTGCTTTTGCCCACGAGAGGATGCACAGATGTAGGCCAGGCTGCTGTTGCCCATGAATTGATGTGTCACATGTAGTGCTGGCCGCTCGTCTGTGAGGAACAACCGAGGCAGGATGCTGTATTCGTGTGGCAGCCGACAAAAGTTGTAGTCTGTTGTGGCTCGATTATGTATCCTCGACCGATACATAGCCTGCTGTCGGCGCTGCTTGGTCGTCGGAGCGCATGCTACACCTGACAGCCGTTGCTGTCGTGCTCTTGTCTATCGTTCGATTCCGGAGTTGGGCAGGGCCCAAACACGTTGGTGCGGACTCGTGACCGACGTTGGCACACGCGCGGGCGACCACATACTACAGCAGTAGTTCTTGGAAAAGCTAACACCTGGTTCCTTCACCTGAAAGAATTGCATCTGCGTAGAGTAGAGCAGGACTGCTCCTGTGGACAAGCCGACTGCTGTCTCGCCGGGAAAAACTTGAGAGCCATGCTGCCTTCGAAAACATATAACTTTGCGTGCGTACCCGTACCACAGATATGAACAAGCCAGCAACATGCTGTGCGGTCACCGATGCCGGCAGTCACCCCCCCCCCCCCCCCCCCCCCCCCCCCCCCCCCCCCCCCCCCCCCCCCC